AAATTTTATTATAGAATACAAATTATTCACGATATAATGCAACGACCCATAGTTAATAATATAATGACAATTGAGTTATGCCTGTCAAAATAATTCCAATCTATAATGAGCTTTTCAAATGGTGAGCAGCAGCAAATGTTTAGGAATGGAATGAGGAAAAAGCGGAAAACAAAGCCAGTGAATGAACGTGAGGAATAATAATTATGAAAGTTTCCGGATATTGAAAATGGCTGATCCATGAACATATCCTGCCTTACTTTAGGAACAAACATTTAATACAGAATGCCTAAGCTTGCGGAAATCATAAGACACGGCCAAAGTGTCAACCAGTCATCGACTTCGCAATGGCTTGTTCGAATGTTTTGTATATTTGTGACTGCTTTTGGGATCCGAAGACACAAAGAGAGAGCATATGGAGGTGCGAGGAGGAAAACAGCAAATTCTTATTATCTTCGCTATTTTCTCCTTTTCTCTCTCTCTCCTTGTATCTTTCTCTCCTGTTTCCCTCTAAATATCTAGAACACAAAGTCTTCGCTAGTGTGGTCTGACAAAAGTGTGATTTTGAGGAAAGTAGATGTGTTTCGTCGTGCCTGGGAGAAGAAGTAGGGACAACTTTCCCAGAAGTATAAAAGTTAATCACAAGGATGCCGGGTTATGAGCAGGACTTTTGCCCCAGACGTAAATCGAACCTGCATCCCTCGCTTGGGGTTCGTTCACGTCTGGGGCAAAGTGTTACGCATAACCAAGGCATCCTTTGTAGATTTTTCGCAGACGAACTTACGGATCAAAACCAGGAGTTATAAAATCAAAGTAAATCTGTAAGAGTTAAGACAGCAGTAGTAATTCAATCTAGCCAAGACTGCTTTTACGTTTTAGTTCGCTCAAGTAACACCAGTCCTACAGAGGAATTGATTCTGCGCGTTTGCAGTCGATATCGACTTTTTATACGCTTTGCTGAGAAGAAGTCTGAAGTATCAGAGCGCTTAAAGCTGAGGAAATACAAGCAACATGGAAAATGAGGTGTCATAGGACAATAAGCTAGGTGCGAGAGTAGGCAGGGAAATTGTTTGAAGACCACAATAATTTAACGAAAATCTGAGCTCTCATATGTTCGAGCCAAACAACAGAAAAAACAAACAGACAAAAGCAGATTCAAAGGTTTAGATGAATTTCGGACCTAAAGGCAGCAATTGCGATAATTTTAGTGTACATGAAGGGGAGAGATACATGGTGGAGAGGTAAGAGACTTACCAAAAGGAAGTTGATAGATGGCGCTGCTTGCAGCGAGAGGCGTGTTATCAACGAACGAGGAACCCGCCGAAAACTAAGTCTTCAAAGCCCGCCCACCCCTGTTCACTTGGAAAGATGATACAACAGCGTAACTCGAGTGATCCTTACTGTTAAATATTTCATTTTAAGTGATTCGCCATTAACGAAATAGTAGCGAGTAGTAAGTCTCATCATTTTTATGTTCGCATCGCCTACGCCCATTTTTCACAAACCATATCGTGACTGCTGGCGCTTTTAGACGCAACTATTCACCTGGGATGATATGGCAATAAAAACCGGCAGGTGTTATCAATGGTGTAGAGGTGGGAGTTCAGCTCGAGCAACGAGCATGTCTAGCACTGCATACTTCTTTATATACTTCACTGCTCTCTCGTGGGTCAACAGCGTGAAGTCAAGTCCATTCACCTAAACGATTAACGGGATTCTTCACCTAATCGAGACCGAGTAGAGCTAATGAGGTACCTGAAGGATTTTGTCGTGACGTCTAAGACCTGCTCGAGCCGCTGGTGAGTCCTCGTCGATGTGAGTGATGTATATCCCCTGCAAAGTGCCATGCAATAAACCTATAAATGATCTGGGAGCACGCACTCACCTGTCAGGATTCTGAATGGGTGGCACAGGCAGTGAATCCTGATCAATTCTCTCCCGATTTTGAATCCCGGACTCGATACGCCACTTGCCGAATTGATCAACAGCTACAAGGATCTCTCCGTTATGATATTCTGCGAGGGTAAACATCCCGTACTCACTTTCTTCCTTTCTCAATTGTATCGCTATACTGAGGCACTCGATGAACTCGCCGGCTGAATGGCCGTATGCCGTCATTGGGCCAAACTCTGCCAGGCTGTCGGTCCCGCCTTACCAACTGAACTGCAAATGAGCTATACAGCAGTTAAGTAATGAATGAATACTGATGGCTTTGTGCAGCTATCCTCCCGTTCAAAAAACGAGAACAGCTTCGAATGCAGACCATACACTACAAGTGACGACGGCCTCTACAAAATGTAAATGCTTTTCCTGCCAATAAAATGATTAGTCCTGTTGCAGTTGTATTCTATCGGTTGTCACTAATCAAAACTACCGTTTACCAAAAAAATCAGTCACTTTTATGAACCACCACTAGCCACCTTTACTTGAAGGTCGTCGTAACTTGCGGTGTATGGTCTGCACCCGACACTCCTCTCGTTTTTTGAAAGGGAGGGTACATAGACTTCATCACAACAAGAACAAACAACATTGCAACCCTTTCTGGGTGCGCCACGCAATTAACTACCACAAAACCTGAGAGCATATTCGAGTTCCAAATGGCGAGCCGAGATAGCTGATATTTATTTTGACCTTGTCATGATGATATCAGTAGACAGCCTATGAGCATGAAGAGAACTAGTCTGCTCTCGGCGCTTCTTACCCAAGATATATAATAAATGAAGTGCCGAAAAATGCGAAGGTGCACCTCCAGCAGGGGCAGATCTCGGAGTTTATGTTTATTTCTCACATAAATCCGATCGGAACATGAACGACGAAGTATAAAAACAAAAACAGTAAAAGAGATACCGGGATTTCAACGCGAGAAGTCTTGGAATCTACAGGAAAAACACTTTTCGTCATTGGGCTTCTTGCAACAGAAAAGGGTGTTGCAGTTCCTTGAAGACGTCTACTACCATTTTCCTGACTGTTCGGGGTGCAGGATCGAGTCCCGCCTGGGCGAAAGCTTTGTTCATAACCCAGCGTTTTTGTGAAAGCTCCCATCAGCATAAGACAAGAAATTGGGCTGAGGTGTACACGGGGCCCCCTATTAAAGCTTAGCCAGCTGGTGAATCAAAATTTTTGAGGAAGAGAAAGGGTAAAACAAATCATCAAACAACCATTCATTGCAGTATCAGCAGCACCGAAAAGAATAGAATAGCTGATCGATTCAATGAGATACGAATATTATCGAATTATTTGCGTTTTCCCAGCAGTTTTTGCTTGGAACACTATTACAAATGTGTCCTCGCATTCTGTACTATACGGAAAAGTACATCGATCCATTTTTGCAACCCATTTATAAAAGTCCATTATGTGGCATGGTGAAGGCTTTGATGGGAAATCAGTCATGGAGGGAATCGTCCGTGCACATATTTTTGAGCGATCATGTCAGAAGAGAATAATTGAACATATATTCATTTTTAAC